CCTCGACCCCTGGCACGGCCTCGGCGCCCCCCTGGCGCCCCCCCCCGTCCTCGTCTCCCCGGGCTCTGCGCCGCCCCCTTCGGGCCTCCCACGCGCCTCCGGGGGCAGCCCCCCCCCCCCGGGGCCGCCTCCCCCTGGCCCCTCCCAGGGCAGCACCCCCCGCGCCGCGGAGCCCGTATTACGCCGTGGCCCGTCGTCGGTCGTCCTCCTCCCCACGGCCTCCCCCTGACTTCGCCTGCGTGTGTGGTCTCGGCCTCCCCCGGCCCCCCTCCCCCCCTGGCTTCTGCTGTTCCAGCCTGCTTCTTAGCCTTGGCCACCCGCAAGAAGGTCGAGCATCAGCAGTAAGCACCGAAGGTCGAGGGCTTCAGCGTGCCGGGCCCTGGCAGGCACTCGTCCGACACGGTTTCGACACTCTTGCGGGATGTGGTGCTCGAGTGCGATGGGAGCAACATGCAGTCGGGGCGCTGAAGAAGGAACCCTTTCCGTTGGGGAGGGGCTCGGCGTTCCCTGATTGCTTTGCAGTTTGCTTTGGGGTTTTCCTGAGGTTTTCCCACGTGAAGTCGAAGTTTCAATTATGGGACAAAGGGGCCTCGTTCCTTATTTGGGGTTCCTTAGGTCAACGCCCCGACTGTAGCCCCTGGCCCTGCGTTCTTGGGCGCTGCGCCGCGCCCCATCTGGCCTCCCCTTGGCCGTCCAGGGCAGCCCCCCTGCGCTGCAGAGCTCTTTAGTTTCGTTCGACGAGGCGGAGGAGGAGGAGGAGGAGGAGGAGGAGGAGGAGGAGGAGGAGGAGCAGGAGCAGGAGCAGGAGCAGGAGCAGGAGCAGGAGCAGGAGCAGGAGGAGGAGGAGGAGGAGGAGGAGGAGGACGACCTGGTGTCCGAATAAGAGCCGCGGCGCCGCGCACTGCTTGTGAACCCCTGTGTGCCCGCAACCCTGGCACCTGGGAGTGTACGACTGACGACTCCCTTTCTGGTTTGGTTTTGGCCCCCCCTTGGCGTCCCCCTGGCCTCCTCCGTCCTGGGCCCCCTCTGGTGCTGCGCCGCTCCCTCCGGCCTCCCTGTTTGTGAACCTCCCCGAGGGCGGCGCGCCTGGGCCAAGAGGCCCGCGCCATTCCGCCGGTCCCCAGAAGAGGGACGACGTCCACGGGGGAGGCATTCGGGGCCTCTCTGGTGCCTCCTGGGGGCCATCTGGGGGCCTCTTGGGGGGCATCTCCGGGCTTGTTGGAGGTGTCTCGGGCGCTTGTCGGGGGGGTTCGGGGGTTCGGGGCCCCCTTGGGGTGGAGGGCTCGGACTGTCAGCTGGAGGTGCTTCTCTTGGGTTCCTCGTGGGGCCCTGTTGGGGCCTTCTGGGGCCATCATTGGGCGCCGCCTCTCGGGCCGATTTGGGGCCCTCTTCGGCCGTCTTGGCTTGCGGGGGGCCGGTTGAGCCCTTTTGGACGCTGTTAAGGCCGACAATGGGAATCTGCGAAACAGGTACGTTTTCTCTTTGGATTGGGACGTCGTTCGTCGTCGTTTGTTTTTTTCCCCTGGCCTTCCCCTGACTCCCCCCCATGCCCCCCCTCCCCCTGTCCTGGCGTCCCCGGGCTCTGCGCCGCTGAACTTGGCCTCCCACTCGCCTCCCGGGGCCGCCCCCCTGGGCCGCCTCCCCCAAGCCTCCCAGCCTCCCTGCACCGCGGAGCCGTTTGCTTCCGTCGCTCGTCGCCGCTCGTCCTCCTCCCCACGGCCTCCCCCGACCTCCCCCCCGGCATGACCTCGGCCTCGCCCTGCCCCCCGCCCTCGCCGGCTTGGCGTCCCTGGGCCGCCCCATTGGACCTCCCCTTGGCCTCCCAGGGCAGCCCCGTGTCACCCCCTCCCCCCCCCCTTCGGCATGGCTTCCCTGGGCCCCGCGCCGCCCCAGTTGGCCTCCCCTTAGCCTTCCAGCGCGGCCCCCCTTGGGCCGCGGAGCCGCTTGTTTGCGTCGTGCTTCGTCGTTTGTCCTCCTCCTCTGTTGACCTCCCCCTGACCTCCCCCCCCCCTCTGGCCCGGCTTCCCTGGGCTCTGCGCCGCCCCCCATTTGGCCTCCCCTTGGCCTCCCAGGGCAGGCCCTCCTGAGCCGCCTCGCCCCAGCACTCGAGGGCAGCGTGTCGGAGCCGCGGACCTCGCATCCTGCCCGCACGGCCGTGCACTGGAGCTCCGGGAGCCCGCTGCCCTCGCTGTCGCCTCGCTCGCTCGCACGCCGCCCCCCCCCCCCCGCCGCCTCCTGGCGGTCGCGGTGGCCCCGGGTGGATTGACAGGAGGACGGCCCCAGGCACCGCCCCGCCCGCGTTCCCTCGCCGCGCCCCGGCCCATGCCCTGCCTCGCGCGCGGGCCAGGGCACGCGCGTCGGTAGTCCTGGGCCCCCTCTGGGCGGACCTGTCCCAGGATCTTGCAAGAGGGCTCCGCGAAGGGCTTCCCAGAGTCGAGAGTCGTCGAAACACAAGTGGCACTTGTATGTCTGCTTAGTTTACTGTCCGCCTCAGCATGTCTCCGAAATATGCTGCAGAGGCCTCTGATAGGATTGAGAGGCTCCCACGAAGGCTAGAGCCTGTCCAAGATGCCACTCAAGATGGCTCCACGGTCCCCCCTGACTGGGGGCTGTCAGCCCTTGATCGTTCTGAGGACGACCTCGCCCCACACGTGCGCTATGCCCAGAGTTTCACGGCGCGCGGTCTCTGGATAAGTCCCGACCTGTTCTCTGGGACCGTCTTTGCATATTGTGTCGTTATGATTGACTGTCCCGGAGCTTGGCGAGGGCCCTCAAGGGCCAGACACGACGAGGGTGGTCCGTCGCGATTTTGCTCAAGACGCTGTATGTCCAGGGACCTCCCAGGAGTTGCCTCCTCAGGTTCTGAGCACCAAGGCCATCCAGGGCACCCTCAACGTCGACGTGTCCGAGTACGCCACCGGCTTCCTGAAGGATAAAGGGGCAAGGTCGGGGGGGGGGGATAGGCTCAGGGGGGCACGCAATCGCTCACTCATCACCGATAGGGGCCCGATAGCCCCTTCTCGCCCAGGAGCTCGCCATCGCGAGCCTATCGCCCATCCATCGGCGATGCCTCGCCAATCGCCGGCTCGATGCGCCCCCTCCTGACCCAGACGTGCGACGTCGTGACTTCTGCGAGACGCAGCCCCTTGGAAATCCCGACCCTTTCCCTGCGACCTGCTCTTCATGACGAGTCGCTCCTCGGAAGGTCCCGGGGTCCGGCGAGGGCCCCAAGCTTGGCATCGCTCGGACGTGTGTCTTTTTCCTTCGGCGAGGACCATCCAGGAGCATCCTTGATCATTTGGCGAAAAAGCCACAAAAACACAGGGAATGGACGTCCGAGCGATGCCCGGCCAGAGGCCGAGAACGGCCAGACGCTTGCCGCCGCCCCGATGCTCTGACGGCGCGAGCACGTCCGGGAGCGCTGCCCCCCCCGGAGAGGAGCTGAACGAGTCCGGCCACGAGGCCTGCTGCGACCTGGGGTCCTACCAGGCCTGCGCGCAGCTGGAGGCCCGGATCAGCGGATCGAACCTGCAGGACCTTGGGGCGGCCGGAGACCCACCAGGAGGGAAAGAAACACACAGACACAATTGATCGTCGATTCTCCAGAAAATATGGGAGAATATGGGAAGTGGGGGGGAAGACAGAAACCCAGAAAATATAGGAAAATATAGGGAATCCTTTTATATGTGTGTGTGTATTTATTTGTGTGTCCCAGGGCCCCTTCAACCCAGCCGTGCAGCGCCTCGAGCAGAATCTCGACGGGGGGTTTTGGGTCGACGTCCTCGGCCTCACGGGGGCCCCTACCTCATGGGAGGAAAGGGTACCCCGACGGCTGCCTTTCCCTCGATTTTGCCTTTTTGGGCCTCCGTGGAGGCCCTCATCGCCACCACTGGATTCGCCTCGAGGTCCTGGTCAGATCTCACCCTGGGAGAGGTCTGGGGAGTAGTGGTATAGGTGCATTTTGGTTTGCCCATTACCAGGCCCAGGGACCGTCAACAAAGGACTCAGGATGAAAGGCCGGTCCCAGGGTCCCAGGGAATTCCCCGTGACCGGCTCCTCATCCCGAGTTTTTTCCGATCACATCTCATCGTGGGAGCCTTGTATGTGTCAGGGCTGGACCTAAACGGTGTTTTTGGTGATTTCGTGGGGCGTTTTCGTTTCGATTTCGTTTTGCGGTAAAGGCGGATTCGAGACAAAAGTAAGGGAAAACGAAAACAAAACGGAAACGAAAAACACCGTTTAGGTTCAGCCCAGGTATGTGTCATTGTACTCCCATCTCTGGATTGCGTTGGCGCGAGCTACCACTGTGACACGGAAGGCTCCCACGAGCCTGCCACAGAAGGAATGGGCTCGAGACCTCCGGGGGCCCACGCCGTGTCCACAAGAAAGGCAGGACGCCGGGGGGGGGGGGGGCCGGGAGCGGGGCAGGGGGCGAGCGGGGCGCCGCCCGCCGCCCAGAGATCCAACGCATCGAAAAAATCAAGACGGAGGTGTTTCTGAAATGTCGGCCCCGAGGGGCCTCGCCGGGCCTCGGGACCGTCAAGCAACGACTCGGGATGAAAAGCCAGTGCTGGGGAATGGGTCGAGACTTCTGGGGACCGCGCGTTGAAAGAATCACGACCTCGGATCTCTGGGCCTGCAGCGGGCACTCTGAACGGAGAGAGGCCTGCACAGCGGCATCTCTTGCATCCCCAGGCGCTGGCGGGCGTGCCCGGCGGGGTGCGAGGAGGGGGGCGGCCGGCCACGCCACGAGCCGCGCCGGCGCCGGGTGGGCCTGCCTGAGAGGGGCTAAACTCCCAGGCGGCGCCAGCACGAATCGTGCGCGTGGCCGAGGGGGGCGGGGGGGGTGGGGGGGCAGGGCAGGTCACGGGCGTTATTGTCGGGGGTGGACAGAACCCCCAACAGTGACACGTCGATTAGTGAATTGTCCGTTTTCGCTTCTCGAGGGCGCCGTGGCCGCTATGTTCCAGGCCTGAGCCCGCCAGGTTTGGGCCTCAGGTCGTTTTCACCAAACCACGTTTTACTAAAGGGGGGTCTGTCCATCCCCGATATTGCGAACAATGAGCGATCTGCTCATAAGGTTCGGTCGGGCATGTCCCCCTGCAGGCGGCTTCCGGAGGAAAGTTCACAAGTGGTCACACATATCCAACTGCAGTCAAACATGGTCCACAGATCGCCCCCAGATTCACGCTTGACAGTTCCTGAACATTCCTCCTCCTGCCCTCTCTCCTCTCTCTCTTCTCTCCTCCCTCCTCCCTCCTCCTCCTCCTCCTCCTCCTCCTCCTCCGCCTCCTCCTCCGCCTCCTCCGCCTCCTCCGCCTCCTCCTCCGCCCGACTTTATCGTAAGCATGAGCCTTCGACGGCCCGCGGGCATGTCTCGGATCTGCGCCTGGCCTTGGCCGCGCTCCCGGCTGCGCGTTCAGAAGCACGCGGCTCTTGAGGCTGCGGGAGGCTTCCTCCTCCTCCTCCTCCTCTTCCTCCTCCTCCCCAACCCTCATGCTCGCGAGCGTGGACCCGAGAAGGACAGCTGGCCAAAAACATAAAACTGTTGGAGCTCCGCGCGGAGTTCTCGAACGGGCGCTGGGCCCCCCCCGCTGACGGTGCCTCCGACACCGCCCCTGGCACGCTCGGCGCGCCAAGCTTCGGGCGGTCGGGGGGCAGCGCCAGTACAAAAAAGCCCACTCGTTGCTCACAGAGCTTACCTTCACGCCTTCAGCCTTCCCCTCCAGACGCGGCCAGGTCCATAGCGAGTGCCCTGTGCTCCCCGACAGCCGCTGTGTACGAGGCGCTCCAGAAGCGGCCCCGCCTTCGAGGATCGAAGGAGCTGCCATCTCTTCCTCTCCGGAAGGAGGCGGCAAGCCGGCGGAAGTTGACGGAGATGATACGAGGCCGCCTCCTCCCGCGGCAGGCCGACGGAAGCCCGCGAAAGGGAAAAAAGGCGCCCCCCCCCAGGTGAGGACAAAAGGCTTCTGGCCCAGGGCTTCCAGAACCTGCCGTCTGCTGGGTTCAGACCTGCGTCCCAAGGGGCGCGCACTGCGTCAGTCTTAAGTCGGGCGTGTCCCTCTACAGGGGGAATATTAAAAGATAGTCAAAAAGTAATTTAGGGACGATCTTTTTGACTATTTTTGCCCATTTGGGGGGCATTTGTTGAGTATTTTTCATTTTTCGCCCAAAATCCTTCTGTAGGGGGACGCGCCCGACTGAATCTCAGCCCCGGCCCCTCTGGTCCCCGCTCGCTCCCCGAGGACGCCGAGGCCGAGGCGCCCCGGCGCAACTCGGGCGCCTCGCTGCAGGAGCAGGGGGCCGCATGCGAGCCCTGCCCCTACCCCCCACGACTTCTGAGGGGGAGGGTGGGGTTCACTTGGAGGAGGAGGAGGAGGAGGAGGAGGAGGAGGAGGAGGAGGAGGAGGAGGAGGAGGAACCCCACCCTCCCCCTCAGAAATCGTGGGAGGTAGGGGCAGGGTTCACTTTGCACGTGGCTCCCCCAGGAGTCCCTCCGCGAGTTCCACGCCTGGCTGGGGGCGAAGAGCCCCGAGCAGCCGGGCTCCCGGTCGCGGGGCACCGGAAAAGCAGAGGAGAGCAAGCCGTGGCGAGGCGTCCCGGCGTGCCTAGGTAGCCCCACCAAACCTTGTTCTCCTCCTCCTCCTCCTCCTCCTCCTCCTCCTCCTTCTCCTCCTCCTCCTCCTCCCTCCTCCTCCCCCTCCTCCTCCCTCCTCCTCCTCCTCCTTCCTCCTCCTCCTCCTCCTCCTCCTCCTCCTCCTCCTCCTCCTCTCTGAGAACCGTCTGTGGAGTCCACGAAATGTTCCCAGAACAGTTCTGGTTGAGACGGCCCTGTTTTGACACATCGGGTCAACGTTCTAAGACCAGCGCGTTTGTTCTTAGAGCGTGTTTGGGTTCTAAGTAAGAACACTTCGTGGTAGGGCTGTAGGAGTGCCGGGGCGGTCGGTCCCTGCTCAAGAGAGCAGAGGAGCGGCGCAGCAATGCTTTCGGGCACGCTCCCGGGAGGTTAGATTCCGAGTTCGCCCTGGTCCGACATCCACCTCGATCCAGCTGAATCCCGCTGAATCAGGCTTGAACTTGCGTGACAGCCCCCCCGAAGGGGACGAATTCTGTTTAATCCCTCCGACGAAGGCCTCCCAGCTGTTGCCTCCTAACACTAACATTCTCGCGTCGTGAGAAGACAGAACGGGAGGTGTTTCACCGTCTTCGGACCCTCAAAAAGCAGTCCCGGAGAAAGGTCTGGGCCTCCGGGACCGCGTGCTGGTTAAAAAAAGCAAGGGAGCGCGATCTGCTGTTACTTGATTGGAGACATCCCCCCGCCCCTCCTCCAGGAAACTGGCGGGGGAGAGGGGGGGAGGGGAAATTCTAGACGCTTCGCGTATCCCCACCAGCCCGTCCAGAAACGACGCCCAGGCGAGTAGAGGGTCGTCCTGAGGGGCTTTTCGGCGTCTTGGGTGCCTCGGGGGGGCCTCTTTGGGCCGTTTGGGATCCTCTTGGCGGCCTCCTGGGGGCCTCTTGGGGCCATCTTGGGGCCATCTTGGGGCCTCTTGGTGCCTCCTGGGCGCTTCTTGGGGCCATCTTGGAGGAAATCGATCAAAGAAGAGGGGAGCGGTAATTAGCGCTGCCCCCTCAGAAGGCCAAAATGGGGCCAAAACCTTAGTAAAATCAATGATTTTGGCTTCAAAGAAGAGGGGAGCTTTAATTAGCGCTGCCCCCTCAGAAGGCCAAAATGGGGCCAAAACCTTAGTAAAATCAATGATTTTGGCTTCAAAGAAGAGGGGAGCCTTAATTAGCGTTGCCCCCTTCAGAAGGCCAAAATGGAGCCAAAACCTTGGTAAAATCAATGATTTTGGCTTCCTCGGCGAGGCCGTTTTGGACGCTCTCACCGCTCCCCGCCCCTCCTGTCCAGGTCAGTGGGTAGGGGGTAGGGGGAGGGGTAAACCCCTCCCCGAAGGGGAAGAAGGAGGGTGGAAGAGGAAACTCGTTAAACCACCGACGCCCTAAAGGGCTGGTGGGATTTCACCCTCCCACCCCCCCCTGGGAACTTGGGCGGGTGTGGGGGGATGGGGGCCCGAGATTCGGGCCTTTTCAACCGACACTTCACAACCGAGATTGGAAACTTTGCAACCAGCGAAGGATCAAATCATATGGTTTTCCTTTGGCAGCGTCCACCTTGCAACCAGCACAGGGCGCTTTACAACCAGAGCGGCCCACTTTACGACCCAGACAGCGGCTACTTTACGATAAGAAAGAAGAGCGGCTGCTTTACAACCAGCGTTCAAAAGCCTCTGAACGCTCTGCAGAGGCTTCTGGGGCTTCGGAGCGCCTGAGGGCCCTGCAGCCTCTGACCACTGGAAGCGGGGGGGCCGTGGGAGCAGGAGTCGGATAGGTGAGTGGCGAGGAGGAGGGCGAGGGAGGAGAGGCAAGATGGAGGATGGAGGGCGCCTGTCGTCGTCGGCAGTGGTCGTCGTAGTCAATCATGAGTTGTCAGTCGTCAGTCGTCGTCGTCGCCGTCGTCGTCGCCGCCGCCGCCGTCGTCGCCGCCGCCGCCGCCGTCGTCGTCGTCGTCGCCGTCGTCGTCGTCGTCGTCGTCGTCGTCGTCGTCATCGTCGTCGTCGTCATTGTCGTTCCCGTCGTCGTCGTCATCGTCGTCGTCGCTGTCGTTCTCGTCGTCGTCATCGTCGTCGTCGTGGTCGTCGTCGTCGTCCATCGTCGTCGTACTTTGACGTCGGTCGCCGGCCGTCCGTCGACGCCGCCACCGTGCCCTCTCGCGCGCGCGGCGCCCCCTGGGGAGATGAGGAGAAAGAGGAGGAGAAGGAGGAGGAGGAGGAGGAGAAGGAGGGGGAGCAGGAGGAGGAGGAGGACCAGGAGGAGGAGGAGGAGGAGGAGGATGACGACGAGGATGATGATGATCAGGAAGAGGAGGAGGAGGAGGAGGAGGAGGAGGAGGAGGAGGAGGAGGAGGGGGAGGGGGAGGAGGACAAGCTAGGTGCGCTCGCGTCATATCTGACGTCCTACCCCTCCCTCCCATCCCTTACCATGGCGCTGATTTTCTCTATCCGCGGACGCGTGTCGTAGCGGACCTGTGGCTCCGCGCGCGCGTGCGTAGTGGGTGGTGGTGCGCGTGCGTGCGTGCGTGCGTGTGTGGTTGTGGTGGTGGTGGTGGTGGTGGTGGTGGTGGTGGTGGTGGTGGTGGTGGTGGTGGTGGTGGTGGTGGTGGTGGTGGTGGTGGTGGTGGTGGTGGTGGTGGTGGTGGTGGTGGTGGTGGTGGTGGTGGTGCGGCGGCGCGTGGTGGCGGGCGGATGGGCGCGCGAGAAAGAGGCCCGCGCTGGGGCGAGAACGCCATCCTGAACGACGGAGGCCAAACACCGATCCGAAAATGAGGCCCACGCTGCAGCGGGAGCACGATTCGGAACGATTCGGGAGCAGAAATGAGGCCGGCGCTTCAGCGAGAGCAGCATTTGGAAAAAAAACTTAAGCGAAAACCCGTTTGACGGGAATCTTGTGTGTTAAAAACAATACGCGGGGGGTGTCGGATATCTCCGGGACGCCATCAGGGGAAGTGGGAGAGTATTTTCATATTGTGTAATTGTGGAGGAGGAGGAGGAGGAGGAGGAGGAGGGGGGGGCAGGAGGATGAACATGTGGGGACGCTGACAAGGCTGCTGCTGCTGTTGTTGATGACGATGGTGGTGATGATGATGGGTAGTGGTCATAAGGATTGTCAGCATGCTGATCATACTGATGGTCATACTGGCGATGGTGATGATTGTGATGATGATGATTCTGATCATGATGGTGCTGATGATGCTTATGATGGCGATGATGGTGATGAGGAGGAGGATGAGGATGATGATGACGACGATGATGATGCTGATGGTGAAGATGATGATGATGATACTGATGCTGCGGCTGTTGATGCTGATGCGGCTGCTGATCATGATGGTGTTGATGCTGACGATGATGCTGATGATGATGCTGATGATTATTATGAGGATGAGGATGAGGATGAGGATGAGGATGAGGAGGAGGATGATGATAATGATGATCATGATGATCATGATGTTGATGATGCCAATGATGATGCTGATGAGGAGGATGAGGAGGAGGAGGAGGAGGGGGAGAAGGAGGAGGAGCAGGAGGAGGAGGAGGACGAGGGGGACGGGGACGAGGACGAGGACGAGGACGAGGACCGCTCCCACATGTGACGACTTTCCGTCCCCAGTTCTTGAGGAGCTCTCCTGCACCTCGGGCCGTATCGCGGGTCTCTCGGGTTCCCGTGGGGTTTTGGAGTTTTTTTGGCCGTTGGGCTCCCCTCCTCCTCCTCCTCCTCCTCCTCCTCCTCCTCCTCAAGTGCCTTTTGCTTGGGCACACCCCTACCCACACACAGTCGATAGCGTAGCCGACCAGCTCTCTTGCACTCCGTGGTTGTGTCATGTTCTGCTAAAGTTGCATTGCACCCCACTACTGCATGGATAACATCAGCACGGCGGCCGCTGGCCTCATCAATGATGCAGTACGTCTCAGCATTACAGTACAATCCTCTTTTATCCAGCTGTTGTACCAGGTTGCAGGAGATTGCCCTCATAACAAGAATATGAATTTCGTTTGCTTGAACGGAACAGCAGGACCCCAATGAGGCTCGGAGGTTGCCCAGTGGAAGAGTGCAGCCCTACACGATGGTGTATTTCGCATGGGTGGAAGGGAGGGCCCCACTCGATTCGCCCGGCAGGTTGTGCAATCATTTTGGGCCCTCGCATCGAGCAAAGAGACGTTGTATCAGTAGGGGCAGCCCCACAAAACACAGCTGGCCGAAGCCTCGCGCTGCGTGTAAAAAGCCAACAGTTCGACATCGCCGTGTGCAGCCTTTACTTCCCTCCTCCTCTTCCTCATCATGCGCGCCAGCTCCCAGCACACCAAAGAACCTTCGATATCCTCAGATCTTGGCCACGCACACTACCTATATGGAGGGCGTACAGATGGTTACCAATGGATCGTCGTGATTGGAGTTTTGGGCTCGGGCTACAGCGACTAAGTGCATCGGCGAGGCTCCCCCCCCCGCAGCACGACAGCGTTATGCAGCATATGTATTACTTCCACTATTCGACCAGCTCAGCCTCATCCCGATCAACACCTTCAGAGGAGTTGGAGCCCACATTTTACAGTCTGACAGGGTCCAGCACTCAGTTATATGTCATTCTTATGATTAGAAGCTTGCTGACATCAGTAACTAGAGTGGGGTCTCCCAGAAGATTAGCGACATGACCCCCGACTTTTTCATCCCCATATCATCTGGACCATATTCCAGTTCACGTCCGGTTGCAGTGTTCATTGGCATCTAGATTGGGCCTTGCCACGCATATTACTTCGGCTATACGACCTGGGTTTCACATCGGCCCATCAAATGAAACAGAGAAGCATTATTGGAGGCTTTACGAAGGGGAGCGCACCGCGCGGAATTATTCAATGCTGTGGAAAGCCGCCTCGAAGACGAATCAGAACAGCATCAGCACATCAGACGACAAGGACAGACTCCGAATCATGAGCGGGCATATCTCTCGCAAGTGTTATCGCAGGAGGGACAACGTTTTTTTCACTTCCAGCGTGGAGCCAGCAGACGGATGCACACAGTGAGCAGACCAAGTATTGCAACTACTCCAGCAAAGACGGAAACTCCGAGATCGGCCATTGGCACTCGCAGAACAACAACATGATGTTGGGACCTCTAACGTCGGACGCAGGCCGCGCGTCACGCCGCCTCGTCGCCACGCCCCCGAGTAGGACAGCAAGACTTAGCCTCGAATGAACTCCCCAGGCCCCTGTCCTTACATTGCTCCCTGCGGGGGCCCTCAGAGGCATCGGCCAGAGCGCGACATCCGCATCGATGAGCGAAAAGCCGAAGTATGCGAACAACTCATAGCGCGATCCACTCTTCAGCGACATCAGCGGTGAAGACATATGGTAGCATGGCGAGGGGCGGTTACTCAGGAGCTTCTACTTGCATACGAACAAGGACGCAAAGCAGACGTGGCGCGCCTTCTCCTAGACCGCTCCCAGCACGAGGAACAGGCCCAATAACAACAGAAACCACGCGCGAGATGAATCAGCACTTCCCACTTCGACGGGCTTACGGCAGCTTTTTCCAATTGTCTTTTGGAGATGGCGGCACGGGGGCCGCCGCGGCCCCCAGCTGGGAAGCTCGCGCTGGTGAACAACTCTACGGGCATGAGGGGGCGGATAATGGGGGTTGCGCCTCGCCGCGGCCACGGCGTGGACTTGGTCGGGCGCGCGACAAGCACGCGCGGATTGCTTGTGCTTCCGGAGTCGCGCCAAGGAGAAAGCTTGCGCCACCGTGGCCGACCCCCCTGGAATCTGTCGGATGCCGTTTCGCCCGCGCAGACGAACCTTGCGCAGGCGCAGAGGGGCCGTCTACAAACGACCCGAGACCGACCTGCGCGAGACGCGAACATTCGTCACAAGTATGACGCGCAAGATATACAGAACACGTGGGGCACCCCTATACTGGAATTTATCCAATGGCGTAGCTGCTACATGGAAAAGAGCCACGCACGTTTCAGGTCCGTTTGGAAAAGTATTGCCCCCCACCTGCACGCGTCTATCGCAGCGCAATCAAGATCCCATGTTTTCGCCCGGATGCGCAGCGGCAAGGAGACGAGAAACGCCCATGATGGCGCGGCAGCCATTGGGATGGAGACTTCGACGGGTGGGACTATGTATTCGTGACCACAAATACGCAACTAATGTTTTTGGCAGCGCCTCATAGGCAATGCCCGCGGCCGACAAATCTACCACCGCGCGGGGCCAAGAAGCCCGCCTTGGGCGGCGTCGCTTCCTCAGCTCGGCCGCGCGCTTTCAAGGGCCTGAAGGAGCTTTTGCTAAACCCGACGCCGGAGCTCCACGGGGGGGGCCCTGGGCGGTAAAAGTTTTTACGAGAGACATGGGCGCAGAATATCAGAATTCACAGGACCAGAGCGCAGACACAGGTGACGAGACAGCGAACTGGCGTGCCCCGTGGCACCCCTACGGACGACGGGGGCACTGACGAGCTTGACCTAGCATGTCATAGCTACGTTGGCGACGCCACAGGAGTATTAGTTGCTACATGTACCCGTGGAGACGATGGAGTGAAGCTCTGTAAACAAATCGCTTGCCTACGAGATGGTACTCGCAACGGAAATGAAGGCGCGCAACTTCCGCATCAACCCAAGCAAGAACGAGAGCGCGGTGGCTGCGTTTGGTCCGAGCGCACAGTTGCGTCGCAGAAGATTTCGAGGTGGACAGCTCCCCTTGGCAGGTCTGCCTCAAGATCGAGCGCAACTACTGGGGCGATCCGACGAGCAAACGATTATTGTGCAAGTGAGCTGGCATGCATCTTCGGTGCAATTCATGCTGGATCCGCGGCGATGGGCCGCCATTAGTATCAATGGCTTTTGCCGTCTGTTGAAAAAAGAACGGTCTTCCACTGCGGAATATTAGGCCCTGCTCTTTCAGGCCTGGAAGCCTTCGCCCCTGTCCCGACTCAGCTCCAGAATATGCACTCCCGCATCCTATACTATGCCAGGAAAGCCATGCGAGGGGGGGGGGTCCAATTTCACAGGGCCTCACATAGCCTCGATTCTGGATGACGGCGTTCTTCGCTGCTGGCGCATGACCCCTCTAGAACGAGGGTGCCGATCCAGGGAATACAATAACACCAGTCTTGGGTGAGGGACCATCACGAGCGCGTCACTGAACGGGGAGCTCTTCTTGGAAACGCGCGGGTGAAGGTTTGAAGCGAGACCCAGTATTGTGGATGGGGATGGCCAATATTCTGAATGCGCTTGCCCCCGGGCCCGACGTTTCGTAAAGGACATCGCTTCTTTGCAGGGCCTAGGAGATGGCGAGTGCGGGATGATCCAGGAGTTCAACAGGATGCCCTTCCGCCATCAGTTCCCCAGAGATCGCGGAGCGGTTCGCCACGCTGGACACTGCGCTTATTAGAGCTCCCGGAGAGCTCCCCGGCTTGGAGCACGCACGCCCCCCCCCCCCCCCCCTGGCCACGCCCCGTCACGCACGAATGGTGATCTGATCGCCCCACCAGTCCCAGCTGAGCTAGCAGACTATCGATGTGCAGTCCCAGGTTGTAGTGGAGCTTTTCGCAGCAAGCGACAGCTCCTGGCGCGCCTTCGAAACGCCACGTTCTTCGGTCGATATTCGGACTAGCAGCGTGTTCGAACCAGTGCTTCGCTTGCGCGAGCGTTTTTCGAAACCCTGAAGTTGGCCTGTTAACGCGCCGTCGAACGTTTCAAGACGGGAGTGCGCGTGTACTCTAGAAGCTCGACGTGCCAGCCCAGTGGTCAGTCGATTCCAACGTGCCCTCTATGCGGGGCTCAATGGGAAACATCGCCGCAGCTTCTCTGCCACGTGCGATCGCGCTTCGCACTCCTACCTGTCGTGGGCGATGGAAGCAGTAGTGGCCCCCGACTGGTTCATGGCACCCGAAGGGAACCGCAGCGCAGATGGGGAGCAGGAGCAAGCGCCACGGGACATGCTCGCCAGGCTCCAAAGTGAAGTACTCAACAACCAATCGGGCGAAGGATCGTCACTGGCAGCGTTGATAACTATACTATGCCGCCTCTCCTTGGACAACAGTCGCGAGTTAGCGAGTTAGCAGAGCTCACCGGCGCCCACTGCACATGCTACTCGGTTTCGCCTACGGCAGGGCTGGTGGACATAATTCAGGCTGCAGGTCAATATGAAAAATGCCAAGTGCAATATGGCATGCAAAGATCACGGACTGGGACCCCCATGGCCTCACATATTCATGAGGCTTCTATACTACCTAGTCAGCCTGACGGGCAACATCCCAGTCCCCAGCGACCCGACGCTGATGGTCCACAGGAACAACATAACCAACATGAGCCAAGCTACGGCGCTCCGTACAGTTCAAGAACACGTTTTTTTGTATGAGAGGATGCCACTTCGACAAAAAACACTCGGAGCCCCAGCAGTATAAGTTCAAGTAACTTGTGGCGCCTGTTCTTCAGACCATCCAGATCATTGATCTGGACGCGGAGCTGCCGACCCTGCACGAGGCGATCGCTCAGGCAGTGGAGGCGCAGAGGGGGCAAACTCAAACCAGGATCTGCGCCGAGAGGCTGGGTCGGATCGGACACTGCTTGGTCGGATCGGACTACCCCACGACGCCGTCCAGAAGCAGGCTCACAAGAAATTCCACGGCTGCTTGATTACCATAAATGGATCTGAACGGATGATCGAGATAGTGCAACAATGATGCTTGAAGGATGAGGCTCTTGCCAGAATGCAGCGCGCGTCCGCCAGGCCTGTACTAGAATGCAAAGTTGGTGTTCGATGTTTGTTTATGTTTCATCATGTCGGTACCCCTGTGGAGCCCAGTATCGATATCACAACGCTGCTTCAGAGGCCCCCCAGGGCCCGATTTACGAATAGTGACCTCTCCCTTTCCTCGGTTGAGTCCCCTTCCCCCTTCCCCCTTCTCGCTCCGCCCTCCCCTCCTCCTCAACCTCTGAACCCAGACCTGACGGCACCTAGAAAGGGAAACGTTGGAGGAGGAGGAGGAGGAGGAGGAGGAGGAGGAGGAGGAGGGGGAGGAGGAGGAGGAGGAGGAGGAGGAGGAGGAGGAGAAGGAGGAGGCCACGGAGCGACTACGGTGCCTCTGGGGGGCCACGGAGGGCCCCCCTTTCCCCCAAGAGCGGCCCCTCCTTCGGCCAGTGGAATCCCCCCGCAGGGCCGCTGGCACGCGCATTCTCACGCGTTCGCAGAGCCATATACACATCCAGGGTCTCACTCGTTGAAGTCGTGAGGCCCCCTTCACCCAGGAAGACATCGAACAACTGGCTCGTAAGTGGTTTTGTGTTGTCTTGTCCTCCTCCTCCTCCTCCTGTTCCTCTTCCTCCTCCTGATCATCCAGCTCCTCCTCCTCCCCCTCCTCCTGCTTCTCCTCCTCCTCCTCCTCCTCCTCCTCCTCCTCCTCTCCTCTTCCTCCTCCTCCTCATCTTCCTCCTCCCTCTCTCCTCCTCTCCTCCTCCTCCTCCTCCTCCTCCTCCTCCTCCTCCTCCTCCTCCTCCTCCTCCTCCTCCCTCCCTCCTCCTCCTCCTCCTCCTCCTCCTCCTCCTCCTCCTCCTCCTCCTCCTCCTCCTCCTCCTCCTCCTCCTCCTCCTCCTCCTGCTCCTCCTGACCCCTGAGCTTCTGGCGCCTTTCAGGTCGGACTCCCGGCACACCTCGAGGGGTTCGCTGTCGCCCGTCCGGGCCCGCTGCCCCTGGAGGCCGCGCAGGCGGGTGGTGCGCTCTCGCGAGGGGCGCGCGGGGGGGGGGCGCTGATCTGAAGTCGGGCCGGCCACCCCACAGGAGGAATCTTCAAGAATGGTCAAGAAGTAGTATGGTGACGATCTTTCACGCTCCTTTCTGGGCCATTCTCGAATTTGTTACGATTGTGTCTTATCGTTCTTCGAGGAGCCGCCTGCAGGAGGACATGCCCGACCGAACGCTGTTTTCGAGAACCAGATCGGGGGCAAAGATAGCGGGGTGGAGGGCTTGGTGGGCCCTGGAAGCGACGGGGCCGTTTGGCTGCCGTTCCGTTTGGCCCTTCTCTTGCGGGTTCCGTCGCCGCTCTTTTGGTGGCTCCGTCGCCGTTGGTTTGCCAGTTCCGGTTCCAGCTTTCATCGGGAGCCATTCCTCTGCCGTCTCGGGCGGCCTTTTGTTTTTACTGTTCCCATTGCCGAGGGACTCTTCGTTGAAAATCGTGGAAACACGGCCCTGCTGTTTCTGGGGCCCACTAGGGTCCGCTGGAGAGCCGAGTTCGGGCCACAACGACCTCCTCCTCCTCCTCCTCCTCCTCCTCCTCCTCCTCCTCCTCCTCCTCCTCCTTCTCCTCCGCCTCCTCCTCCTCCTCCTCCCCCCCCGATAGGGGGGAATATGCTCACGGGGGAACGCATCAGCCCCCCATCGCCCACTCGTCGCCGGCAGGGGTCTGGTCGCCCCACCCCGCCCCAGGAGCGCGCGGAGGCGCCTTCGGGGGCCTGCCGCCGACCTGTCGGCGAGGTATCGCCGATTCCTGGTCGAGCTTCCCTCCCCTGGGCCAGCCCCCCTCGATCGCTACCCATCATCACAGGAGCAACTTGGCATCGCTCGGACGTGTGCATTTTTCCTTCGGCGAGGACCCTCGAGGAGCATCCTTGACCATCTGGTGAACAAACCACGCACGAAATCGAAAAGAGCACAGGGAATGGACGTCCGAGCGATGGCCAGGCAAGATGTCATGATAATGGTACGTCTCCGAATTGTCGAGGTTTGCAAAGACATCCCAGATTTCGCAACGCTCCACAGGGGCCGCAGAAGCGAGGGCCGCGAGGTACTCCTTGGGAATCCTGGAACCAAATCCGAGCCAATCCAATCATGATTTCATTCTCGTCCTAGAGAAAGCCCAGGGCTTCATCTTACGCAGAAGGACAGATGAAACATCACACGTTGTTTGATGATTATTGGTTGTCTGTTCAAAACGTATGATGAGCCGATGGGAATGCACATTAGCCCTATAACTCTCGATTGTGATAGGAAAGCGTGTGGCGTTCCATCTCATCTCACGCTTCTGCTATGGGAACCAGCAGCCATAACAACAAACATAAGCCGGGTGATGTTCCATCGAGGCCTTCTCTTTCGAAGCAAGGGCCGGAGGTTCCTGAGAGTGCCCAAGTCGTGCGCCCTCTTAGAACCTCCTGCCCCTGCTTCGTAGGAGGGGGGGGCTCTTAGCAACCTCAAGCGAGGGGGGCCTCTGAGAAGCTTTCTTGGGCTCTCTTTGAAACCTCCGGCCCCTGCTTCGTAAGAGGGGGCCCTCTCAGTAACCTCTGGCGATGGGGGGGCCCTGCGAGACCCTCTTGGGCCCCAGGAGGGCCTCTCAGAGAGCCCCCCCTCGCCGCCGCCCCCGCGGAGGAGGAGGAGGAGGAGGAGGAGAACAAGGAGGAGGGGGAGGAGGAGGAGGAGCAAGAGGAGGAGCAAGAGGAGGAGGAGGCGAGGAGGAGGAGGAGGAGGAGGAGGGGGAGGAGGATGAGGAGGAGGTCGAGGAGGAGGAGGAGGTGGAGGAGGAGGAGGAGGAGGAATGGGAGGTGGAGGACGAGGAGGAGGAGGAGCTTGAGGATGAGGAAGGAGGCCCCCTCCCTCGCGACACGCCCCCGCGGCGCGCGCCCCGCCCCGCAGGGACGCGCCCGTGGCTCCAGCGCAGCCGGCCGCGCCTCTCGGGGTTCAAGCGCCGCCGCTGACCGACGTGGTGTTCACGCGCGCGACGAGCGTGCCGTGACAGCGCGCCCCGCTCTCGCGCGAGGGGGGCTCCTCCTGGCGGCCTCGGCGCCACGCTTACGTCGGGCACGTTCCTCTACAGGAGGCATACACAAAAAAAACTACAAAGAGTTCGGGGAAGGTTTCTGTTGCACGTTCCAGAACTGCCAAACTCCGCCTGTAGGGTGACATGCCTGACCTGACGCCACGCGCGGCGGGTCACCCAGACGTGCTCGCGCAGTTTCAGCAAGATCAGGACGGGAGGCTTGTGGCCGTCTTGGAGCCTCTGGGGGCCCTCGCCGGGCCCCGGGGAGCTCCGAGGAACGACGCGGGATGTAAAACCGGTTCTGGGGAGACGGTCGAGGCTTCGGGGGCCCGCGCCTTGAGAAATTCAGGGCGTCGCATGTCTGGGCAGGGCCCCTTCTCCTTGGAGCCGTCTGGGGTTCTGAGGCAGGCCCAGCACTAGCGCTGGCCAGGAAGAGGGGGGGAGGTTCGAGAGTTTTTCTTGTCCTTTTCGGCCTCCAGGGGCCGTTTTCGAGCCCTGGCTGGGACCGTCACGAACGGATCCGGTGTGAAAAATTGCACCAGATCAGATTGAGGGGGCCGAACGGTCATTCATTGCCACTGGGTGCGTTGCTGAAGTGGGATTCCGCGGTGCGGATTCTTGTTGTGTTTGTGTTGTTGTTGATGATGATTGATTGTTTGTTTGTTTGTTTGTTTGTTTGTTTGTTTGTGTGTTTGTGTGTTTGGTTGTTTCCTGTTTGTCTGGTTGGTTGCTTGCTTGCTTGCTTGTTTGTTTGTTGTTGATGGTGGTGGTGTTGTTGATGTTGAGCGTCGTCCCCCCCGCGACTGGGCCCGCTGCGACCCAACCCGCGACCCGCCCGCGACCAACCCGCGACCCACCCGGCGACCCACCCGCGACCCGCCCGCGACCCGCCCGCCACCCGCCCGCGAGCCACCCGCGACCCACCCGGCGACCCACCCGCGACCCACCCGCGACCCACCCACATTGATATAACGAAAAATCGCCGCCTGCGGCGGGCACGCGGCATAATTTGTAAAAGTTGCGCGCTTGCGGCGGGCTTCTTCAGAGCCTCGCAGACTCCAGACGTTTCCGCCGCCCCCTCGCTTTTATCCGCAACTGTGGGGTGCTTTGTATTTTGAGCGGTATTCGGCTCTCCCCCCCTCACCACCCACCAAACCACCCCAACCCAACCCGAAGCCCTCAATTTGCCTTCCATTTCCAGTGGGAGGGGGGTCGGGGAACGTGGAAAAAGCACATGGTATCCGTACCCCCCCAACCCGAAATTCGGGTCAAATTCGGGTCTTCGGGTTGGGTTGGGGTGGTCTGGTCGGTCTGGTAGGTAGTCACCCCCTGACCGAATTTCTGGGGTGCAAGCCAGTGCAGACACCGCGGCAGCCTCCAACGTGGGGGCCCCTCTGGGTGGCCCAGCGCGCACGCGCGGTGGGGCAGGGCCGGTCCTCCGACTCCTTTTTGCCGCGGGTTGGCAGCTCGAGTTGAACATCAGCGGAGCTCTCTTCGGAATAACGACAGAGGGCGCAGGCATGGTCTTTCGGGAGTCCGCGTTGAGTTCTTTAGGGGGCCACATGTGAACCCTACCCCTACACCCCACGATTTATGGGGGGTAGGGGTAGGGTTCACATGTGGCCCCCTATTCTTGGGTCGGCGCTGGACCCCCCCTGGCGCGCCTCGCGCGCCAGGGGTCGGGGGGCCCAACGCCATCCCACGACGTCAGCGCAGACCTCCGAACATGCATGCCTGCGCCTTTTCTTGTTGTTCTATGACGTTTCCATAGATATTGCTGGCCTCCTTCCAATCAAGTCTTGGTTCTCTTAAACGGAGGGCGAGCTGATGCCCACCCATTTAGTTTTTTCGCGGCACGGCGCTGACAGCCAGGGCGGGCCGAAGGCGAGTTGATGCCCTCCCACTTTGTTTTCAGCGGTACGCATCGTCGGCGCTGACAGCCAGGGCGGGGCCAAGCATGAGCGCTGTCCGCTGGGCCCTCTCTTAGCAGCGCGCCGGTCTTTGTTCTCGCTCTCCCCCCCTCTCTCTCTCTGTCTCCCTCACTACACCCCTCTCCTTTCTGCACCTCCTCGCCCTCTTCATTCGCGCCCTCCTATCCCTCCTCTTCCTCCTCCCCCTCATCGTTACCGTCGTCTTCCTCTTCGTCGAGTTTGCCCTCCTCCTCCTTCTCCGCCCCCCTCCTCCCCCTCCACAATTACACAATGTGAAAATACTCTCCCACTTCCCCTGATGGCGTCCCGAAGATGGCCGACCCCCCCCCCGCGTATTGTTTTTTTACACACAGGATTCCCGGGAAACGGGTGTTTTCGCCTGCGTTTTTCTTCAAAATGCTGCTCTCGCTGAGGCGCCGGCCTCATTTCTGCTCCCGAATCGTTCCGAATCGTGCTCCCGCTGCAGCGTGGGCCTCATTTTCGGATCGGTGTTTGGCCTCCGTCGTTCAGGATGGCGTTCTCGCCCCAGCGCGGGCCTCTTTCACGCGCGCCCATCCGCCCGCCACCGCGCCGCACCACCACCACCACCACCACCACCACCACCACCACCACCACCACCACCACCACCATCTCAACCACCACCACCACCGCCACCACCACCACCACCAGCAGCAGCAGCAGCACCACCACCACCACCACCACAACCACGCACACACGCACACACGCACGCACGCACGCACGCGCACCACCACCCACTACGCACGCGCGCGCGGAGCCACATGTCCGCTACGACACGCGTCCGCGGATAGAGAAAATCGGCGCCATGGTGAGGAATGGGAGGGAGGGGTAGGACGTCAGATATGACGCGAGCGCACCTAGCTTGCCCTCCTCCCCCTCACTCTCCCATCCCATGCATTTTGCGCTTCTGCTTCTATCTTCGCCCTCTTTTTGTGCGGCTCTGGGGGGATCTCCAGAGGTCCGCGGAGGGCCCCCCCTGGGCGCCCGGCACAGCAGCCGATCCTTCTTTATTGCTCCTCCTGCTCTCTCTCTCTCTCTCTCTCTCGGTTTCGTCTTCGGGGGTACCTGCGGGCAGTGCTCGGGAGACACTCGGCCTGCTCGGAGCAGCAAGGTTTAATTCGGGCCTGTCCCTCTACAGGGGGAATATCCAACAAATAATCAAACAGTAGACAGGGGACGATGTTTGGGCGTCTCTTTCTTTGAAAAAAAAAACTTGTTTGAATCCTTGTTGCGAATGTTTGGTTTTGTCTAGAATCTGCTTGTAGGGGGACATGCCCGACCTGAAGCAAGGGGTCGGGGGGAGCAGAAGCGACGCCACCACCACCAGGGAGGGCACTTCCGCGAGGAGGCCCACGATGCCTCCCCGGGCTGGGGAGGGGAGCGCCTCGAGGCCGGAGCGGGGGGACCACACCATCAGGGAGCCCCCTTCCCCTGGCTCCTCCCGCTGGTGTCCCTGGTGGTGGTGGTGTCGCTTTCCCTTGTTCCCAGGGGTGGAGGATCGGGGATCGAATTGTCTGTAAGGGCTTCGCCCCCTGCCGCCGGCCCCCTATCTCAAAGCATGGTATATGCAAGAGATGTGGAGATGTCTGGGCGCCGTCGTGAAGCAGTGTCGGAACCCCGAGCGATGGCCAGTGTCGTACGCTACGGCTTGCACTGCAAACCTGAATCGGACCTTTCCATATGAGGACTTTGCAATCTAAACGTTGCTGTCCGACAGCGCATGGTGCCACGTACAACTGATCAGATCGAACACCGCATAAGTTACGAGGGTTTGTGGCTTTGGGGACGCATATCTATATCTATATATATATATATATAATGTAATGTCAATGGTTTATGGCCTCGGGGACGTACATATCGAATGCTTTACAAAGGTTTATGGTCTCGGGGACACGAAGATTGCATACTGTACAAGAGAATGTGGCCTCGGGGACGCGAATATCATGTAATATACAAGTGTTTATCGCCTCGGGGATGCACATATGTATCATTTACAAGGTTTTATGGCCACGGGGACGCGAATAGCGTTAATCATTGATTTACGAAGGATTGTGGCCTCGGGGACGCATCTATCGTGTAATTAGCGAGGGTTTATGGCCTCGGGGGCGCAAACATTGTGTAGGTTACAGCGTTTTATTGCCTCGGGGACGCACATATTGTTTAATTGATTACATGTTATGGCCTCGGGGGCGCGAATATCGTGTAATTAAAGAGGTTTTGTCGCTTCGGCGACGCAGGTTTCATTTAATTGTCAAAGTTTATGGCCTCGGGGGCGCAAGTATGGTGTACTTGACAAGGTGTCAGCCACTGGAACAATAATATTGTGTCATTTACGAAGGTATGGCTTCGGGGACGCGAATCGCATGTATTGTTGCGTGTCCCACGAACCCCTCTGGAATTCAGACAACGCGATCCGGACGTGGTTATTTGGGCCTTTTTCCGCTCCACCCCCTCGCGCGTTCAGTAACAATTCGCAGTACGAAGCAGTAAGTAGAGCTATCACATTGGAAGATGGAACCTGCAACTGGCGCAGGGAGCAGCACGCCTCGTCCTACAGCCTGTTGGCCCCACAAGGGGGCCGGCGGATTTCTCAATCTTTGCATTTTTGGGGTCGCCCTACTTCCCCTGATTCTCCTCCTCGCCTCCTTGTCTGTCTTCCTCAGTCTGGTGCCTTCTTTCGCCTCCTTGCTCTCTTCCTCTTGTAGTCCTCCTGCTCCGCCTCGCCTTTTCCCTCGCTCGTCCTATCGTGTGCTCGCTCTTCTCCTAAACATGTCGTCCCCTCCCCCTCGCCGTTCTGCATCCCTCGTCTTCGTGGTCCTCCTCCTCCTCCCCGTCCGTGTCCTCGTCTCCCTTCGTGTCCTCGCCCTCGGCGGCTTGCCCTAATCCGAGTACGCGTGGAAGTAATCGGGGATATGAAGAGAACGTCACTGATACCAGCGCGCCCCTCACAGGAAACGTATTCCCAGACCCCCTCGAGTTATGAAACCAGTACGACGGGAAGTTATTCATGATTTTCGTTCTTTTGGGGGCCGTTACCGACCCTCGGGACCGTCAAGAAACGACTTAGGACAAAAACCGTTCTCGGTGAATGCGTCCATACCGTTGAGGGTCCACGTCATGAAGAATTCAAGACGTCGGGGGTTTGGTCAGAGAGAGATCCCGATGTAAGGGCGAATGATTATTTCTCAGTGCCGACCGACGGGCGCCCGAGTCTTGAATCTCTGAGCGCGACTTGCTGCATGTGATCCTCGAGCTGGCACTGGCAACATCTTGGAACGGTGCATGCAAGGCAGACCCTTGACGAGGTGAAGTGCGAACCGATTCTATTTTACACATTATGTTAGACAGACAATCGTAATGATCGGGTTGGGAGGATGGGGTTGGGAGAAACGATCAGGTTCTTTGTGTTACTGCGTATGTTGAATGCGTCGATTACACAGTCGTGCCCTGTACCTTCCCGACCCCTTCCTCCCAATCCGATAATTGTATGTCGCACTATGCTATGATCTGCACGTGCATTTCGGACGCGCGCACCACACGAAACGACAACCTGCGCATTGTTCACGTGAAGGGTGGATGATGAGCCATGAAGCGGCCGAGAAGGCATGCGATATCGTATCAGTGGCTGGTCGTCTCCGCCAGCGCCGAGAACGTAGTAGAAGTACGAGCGCCCGCGGCGCTCCGCTAGAGTGCGGGCTCTCACTGCGCCTCTCGAGCCTTGGAGCCGGTGCGTCTACAAGCGGTCGCGCTGTGGGCACGCCTGGGCATGACAGCTGCAGTGGCAAGCATTTGCGATTCATGCAACGCGTCTGCACAATCGTGCTCATCAAATTGTGAAGAAGAGCTCGTGCGTGTGCCGCATTAATGATACCACGTGGCGTGCTCTGGAGCATGCCGACCACGCTGGCACACAGTCGCCTGTGATGCCGCAGTTGGGACCTGAACGTCATTGAAACCAGCATGTCACTTGTCAGGGGCCACTCGCATAGTAGAGTTGAACTTGTGCTGGTGGACTCTGTCCCATCGCATCAGCCTTCTCAGCAATTCGGCCCCAATTCGGCCCTATGGTGGACACACGTACTATCAAAGACCCACTGCACGACTCGATCGACTGTTTTTTTTGTAAAAAAGGGGTCCCCGGTGAAGGCGTAGAGGGAATCATGTGGCAGGAGGGCGACGTCCAGACCCGGCTTCTGCGAGAACACCGTGTCAGCCAGATGTGTATTCGCCACTTTTCCTCCCCAGCACACAGGCCCCTTCGTCGAGTAAAACAAGCTCCTCCTCCTCCTCCTCCTCCTCCTCCTCCTCCTCCTCCTCCTCCTCCCCCTCCCCCCCCCACCACCACCTTGAGCACATTCATCGTGATCAATTTCGAAGGCGGCTCCGGGAATTCGTTTCGCATTCGTAAAAGATCTGCAGCGTCGCGAGCATTTTGCGACTCACACCTGAGCCAAGCCATGTGCAAACTGGGCGCACGCAGCATCCGAAGCACGGGAGGGGTGCAGCATGTCGTGACGAAGCGTCTGGTACATGCACACCACCTCCAATAATGCAGAACTTGGCGGCCCACCGATCAGTATACCTGCAGTCTGTGTCCAAATGAAGGGGGCCGTTTTGAACATACGCATCTCCAACAACTCCGTCATCACACGTTCAACCGCGTCGATGTCCACGACCCATATGTTACGGTAAACCCCGTGAGCCGAATCACCCACAGAAGTTTGAGTGGGGGATGATGTTGTAGTGTTTTGCGCGTTGTGATGTGCGAGAATGGCAGGGTCGAGCGGGCTTGCGAGCAGAAGCAAGAATATGCCTCACCAGTTGACTGGAAGCTTGGCCCGCATCTGATATGAGGATCGTGGGGTGCGTCATTGTCCATTTGCACAACGGACACGCCCCAACATCATTTGGCACAGCAAGGTGCTGTACTCACGCCAGCAGCTCGGAATACAGTCGCAGCAATCCCAGAGGACCAGGCATGCTTGACAATCAACCTGGCCTTGAACATGCAAGCCTGCGTGTATACCCTCCACGTGCTCTTGCATTCCAGGGAATTCTCGCTACGATGACAAACATGCCCATTGCGAGTGCACGCATCCACAGACTGTGGCAGCAAACGGCGCGATACGAAATCGGGGAGAGAAGTCCAACACCTATTTTCGATAGTGAAACACATGTTTCGAACTCTGCAACCGCGTCCGCCAAAGCCGTGCCGTTGGACTCCCATGCGGATGACATGCGTATTCACGGACACACCTGCTCCGAAGAGCGTTAGAGGATGCGATCCAGACAGCGTTTCGATCCGTATCTTCGTACTCGACACATTCTCCAGACCCCAAGGAATGCACATGGTTGAGACGATAGTCGATGCCATGTTGGACGGGACTGGGACGACGAAGATCCAGCCAGCTATCTGGCGGCGCAAGGGCAGCCAACGACTCGCGCACGCAGCAAGTGCCACATGGAAAGGCATCACACCAGCCGGAGTTGCAGGCACCGTCGCGTTGCTGATCAGGGCATGCATGTGAGCCACCTGCCGCTCACTGGCAGTCGAGCAGTGTCGAGACCGGACGCTGCGTATTCCAGCGGAGGAGGGCGAGAGATCGCAGATGCTGCTCATGTGAAGCTTCTTGGCCCAGGGCATATTGCCACTGCAGCACTGCGGAAAGTTTGTGTCGGTGGCGCTCGTTCTCGGTTTCTCGTGTTCAGGCGTGCAGTGGCCGGCAAGCGAGACTCCACAAGAGCAGCGGCGCAGTCTCTGGAACATGTCAGCCAGTGTTGGTCTGGCACGACAAGCTCCCACAAGTGTGGCACAATCGTTTGGTGAGAATATTAACGAGTCCTCAAAGACACTTGTTCGCGCATGCGCTCGTGAACTTGCGTGATCAGACCATCAGTCACGGCTCGTATGTTGGACACTAGCTTCCCTCACGTATACATGTGCCAATCGACCTCGTTGCCCCGATTGGCCGCGTATTGTACCAACAGATGTCGTTGACTGGAACGTACGAATTCAGGGGGTCCTACAACGCAGACGAACTCCCCTGCAGACGTCGGTACAACGATGCGCGCGGGTTTTGCAGCCATCTTCTTGTGACCGCTCTCTCCTTGTGCGCTTGAAGATGCCCCTGCGCTACGTTGCATCTTTGGGGAAACTCGCCTGTCCCCAGAATTGGTGTCTTTTCCTCTGCCCGACGCGGGCTCGATGCGAACTCGACGCGGATTTGGCCAGGATTCGATGTGGATTCGACACGGATTCGACGCGGATAGGGTTTCGACGGGACAGGCAAGGTCCCCCGAAGATGCAACATGAGGTCTCGCGTGTAGCCGAAGAGGGGCTGTGCCCTGTCTCCCTGATGAGAGCTGTGCGTAGCCCGCCTAGCTTTTAGCGGAAGAGGTTCGCTCTCGCCCCGCCGACCAAAAGTGTAGCCGAACCCTGACCATCCAGAGAGCTATTTTTTAGCACTGGAGACCTAAAAACCTAAACAACTGAACGAAACAGCCTAAAACCAAGACGTAGAATAGCTCTGGGATAGGTTTTAAGGTCGGGTGTTATTTTTTAGCCCTCCTGGAGGGTCAGGGAAGAGGGCTGCCCTGCTCCCGAGTCCACCTCCACGACGGGCCCCTGGGATGCAGCGAAGGCAGCGCAGTGCGAGGAGACTCCGAGGACGCCCGGGAGACCAGGAAGGACGTCGGGGCCGCGGTCTCCGCTCGCTTCTCGCTGCTCGTCGTCGGGCCATCGGCCCTTCTCCCGAATCACCGCCGGCAGAGAATGGAGGAGCGTGTCGCTACATTGTTCGACTAGACGTAAGAGTGACCTTTCGCCGGAGTGACCTTTGGTACGGGCACAGATGGGCCCCCATATGGCTGAAAACGAAGCAGTAGCAGCTGCTTGCGCGCCCAGGTTTGGTCCCCCAGCGGCCCCCCAAAAATCGCGCACCAAAGGTTCCTCTTACCCAGGGTCACTCTTGCGTATAGCCGAATTGTTCGCTCGCGGTCGACTGTTCGGAATCTGGAGCATGTACACTACCAGCGGCGGGCTGCTTTTTTCAATCCCCGGATCTCTTGAAGGCCGGGGACGACGCTGGGGTGGTGTGGTGTATATTTGTTTGTCCGTTTCCCGGGGAACCGGCGGAACATGTCTACCAGGATCCCGTACACCAGGACACGCTTTTTTGTTTGCAGGTTTCAGTGCAGGGCCAGAACAAGCGTCGGTGTATAGAGTCCGGTTCCCCACTTGCGCAGCCTGTCGCTACGGTGTTCGCTCGGGGTCGAATGTGAGCACCGTGTGCCGTCTCCATGGCAGATCTTGCTGTGCCTGACATCAGCCGCAAGAGACACACACACACACTCAGTTCGGACCCGTTCCCGAGCCGACGGCCCTGGCATCGCGCATTGTCCGGGAGGACAGGCCCTGGATCTCAAAGGAAGGTGGGCTTGGGCATGTTCCGTGAGCCTGCAGACACCACCGGAGGGGCTCGAGTCGAGGGGCGCAGGGTGGGTCCTCTGCCTGCATACGGCGTCCGCAGCCCGAGGTGGTATCCATGCTTGCGGAATGCTGGTCGCATTTGCACCTGCATCCGATGGACCAGCGCAACGGCCTGAGTGAGTGATCTTGCGCCCTGCCTTGCCAACGCCTGAAGAAGCTCGACGTCTATTCCAAACAATGTTTTTCCGTGTAAGCTCCAACTAATGCCCCCCCTGCTTCGCACGACGTATGTTTAAGAGTGTGAGGCCTATCGTAACGGCAAGAAGGACACATCCTAATGTTCGACCGCCAAACCGCGATCCCGTGGAGCTGCAAGAAATCGGCGCTGTTAGGCGAGAATATTCTCCATGATAATTGCTTCGGTCCGCATGCTTATTACACAAGTCCGAGGCCACGTCACTCACAAGATTCCCAGCGCATGCGGGGAGCGGTGTCGGAAAGAACTGGTACACACGGTCGGGAGACATTGCGATGATATACTCAATTCTCGGGAGGAGGTGCGAATTAGTCATGCACTAAGGAGGCATGTGATGTGCGCACATGAGACATGTAACTATGAACGTGCAGCTGTGGTACACCGCGAAGGCTCCATTCCGCTGCGAATCCTCGGCGAGGTTGTTTGCCCAAACCCGAATGCTCGTGAAAGCTATTGGGAACGCGAAAAGACACTGATGTCAGCGGCGAGCGAGGGGTGAAATGAGAAGGAGAACCCAGAAGGCGGCGGTACCTGTCGGGGCTTTCTGAGATGTCTTCTGTGGCGTGTCGGGGAAGGCTTGGAGCATTTCTCGGAAGGCTGGAGGACTTCCGAGTCTTCTGAGAAGGGCCGCCCCTTCCCACTTCCCCTCCGAGCTCACCGCGAATGGTGCCAGCGCGTTTGCGCGCCGCTTCCAGGAAAGGTTTGGAGAGATTTCGATGTAGAGGAGAAGGATTTTTGTTTCAGTACCGGCCGAAGGACGCCTGAGTGTTGCATTGTTGAGCGCGTCTTGCTGCAGCTAGGCTGCTACTCCAGCTGGCACTTGGAGGCGTCATAGAAGAGTGCATACCACGCAGACCCGCGACAGGGTGAGGTGCAGATCGCATACACGTGACGCGGTACGTTCGACCTGACGCTCTATGTCCTGACGCCCCCTCACCTCTTGAATTTGCTGGTCTTGCCAGCCCTGCTGCCGAGGCCGGTCCTCCCGTCGCCTTGGCGATTCCTCTGGCCCGGCACGGTCGGCCACCTCTGTTTGTTGCTCGACGCCGCAGGCGAGGCAAGGGCCCGGCCGAGGAGGGAATCCATCGAAGGCGCCTTGTGGCGAACCTCCGCCGCCCCCCCCGGGTGCCCTCTGGCAGCGCCCGTTCGGCCGGACGTTGGGCCGAAGTCTTGTCAAGCACTTCGGCCATGTGCTCCCCGAGCCGGAGGAGGGAAAGGCACCCCTACCGCTGCTGTGTTTCTGTCGGTTTCCCTTCGCTGGGCCTCTTTGGAGGCCCTCGTCGCCACAGCTGGATTCGCCTCGGAATCCTGGTCAGAACGCGCCCCAAGAGGGGTCCGGGGAGTAGCGCCATCGGTACGTTTTGGTTTCCTCACTCGGGGGAACGCTTGGGGGACGAAGAGAGAGGAGCAGCCAAGCTAGGTGCGCTCGAACCATACCTGACATTCTGTCCCTCCCTCACATCCCTTCCCAGTTCGCCAGTTTTCTCTCAGTCAGCGGACGGGTGTCGTAGCCGACCTGTAACTCCAAAAAAGACCCCATCAAGTTATGCGCAATCGGAACTGGGGAGCTGCGTACAGAGGGGGGGAGGAGGAGGAGGAGTAGGAGAAGGAGGAGGAGGAGGAGGAGGAGGAGCAGAAGGAGGAGGAGGAGGAGGATGAGGTCGAGGAGGAGGAGGAGGAGAAGGAGGAGGAGGAGGAGGACGACGACGAGCAGGAGGAACAGGGGGAGGATGAGGAAGGATGAGGACGAGGACGAACAGCTGCAGCACGAACTCGAGGAGCAGGAGGGCCAGTCGAAGGCGGAGGCGGGGAAATGATGGGGGCGATACCGATGATAAACGACTCGGAGTAAGGAAAGTGGCCCGCGTTGGGGCGAGAGCGCCATCCTGAAGGACGGAAGCAGCACGCTGATCCAAACATGAGGCCCACAAGGTGCCGTCCTGGAGGCCTCTTGGGTTGTTTTTAGGCCATCTTGGCTCGTCTGAAGGCCCTCTTGAGGGTTTCTTTGGCCGTCTTGGAGCTATCGTGGAGGCCTCTCGGGAAGAATTCGGCTTGCGGAAGCAAACCCTTTCAAAGCCAACGGAGATTCAATGATGTTGGTTTCTTCGGGATCTTTTGGAGGGCCTCTGGTGGCCCTCTTGGGTAGGCTTGGAGCCTCGTGGGCCTTCGAAAGCCATCTAAGACCGTCCTGGGTCCATCTTGAGCCGTATTCGAGGCATCGTTGGGCCATGTTGGGCTCTTTTGGGAGTATTTTGGATGTCCTCGAGGCGTCTTTGGATCGTCTTCGACGCAATCTTGACCGTCTTGGAATTTCCATTTCTGGGCACGAAGATCAGCCCATGTATTTCCTGGTGGCCTGCAGGTCAAGCCGAAGGCCATTTGGATTTGTCCGAATCGGGTTCTCAAATCAGTAAAACATCGCCGTGAACCCATATGATAAACACAGGGGGCGGCGGATCGAAGACGCCTACGGCGCATCCCCGTCGCCCCCTGCAGTTTGGAATTGCCCATGCGGCCGAACGTTGGGCCGAAGTCTGGCCAAGCTATTGGACTGTGTGTTCTCCCAGCTGTTGTGGAAACCCTTGGGTGAACACTTGGGAGAGAAAGAGAAAGGAAGATGAGAGGAAGGAGAAGGAGGATGGGAGGAGGAGAAGGAGGAGGAGGACGAGGAGGACGACGATCAGTGTTAACCAAATGCGCATCACTCATGTTGCCTTAGTCCCTCCCTCTAAGTTCCCTCTTCGCAGGTCCCTACATGCGATTGCACATTGTAGAAAGTGGCGCTTTAGAAGACAACTGCCTGAGAATCCACAATCGTGCCAAAACGCCTTCCTGGGACTTCAACGCCACGGATCAGCCTGAGTGTCAAGTTCTGATCGCCACGCCAGTTCTGGCACTCCAGCGCCGCGACTCAACGTGATTGTTGCGTGCTGTCAATCCGAAAACGTGCCAGAAACCCATTCTTCGAACTGGTGTATTTTTGTATGGCGAATGTGCAATGCCCCCAGGCGAGAGCCACATTTGGAAACTAACAATTGTCCATCTTTCTGTTGCTACTTTCAAGACAAATGTGCGTGGCACTCAGGCGAGAGCCACATTTTGAAGACGTCCCACCCTGCACCTGTGAAACTGTTGTCAGTTTTCAAGACGAGTGCTCGTGGCGCTAAGGCGAGGGCCACGTTTTGAAGTGACCAGTCCTGCATCCGTTAAATGGATGCAAACTTTTAAGACGAGTTTGCGCGGCGCGACAGTGAGAGCCACGTTTTGAACACGACTGCCCTACATCTGTGAAATTATTTAGAGGTATTCGCGACGCTTGTGCGAACGCCTTGTTTTGAAAACGACCCGCCCTGCGTCCGTGAAGTTTTTTGCAGATTTCAAGCTTCAGGATCAAACATGGCCAGGAAGCACCAGGCGAAATGTCCTCTTGGAGCCCTCTTAGGGCGTCTCAGGGGCCTCCCCAGCCGTCTTGGAGGCGCCTTGGGACTGTCTTGGAGGCCCTCTTGGTCCATCGCAGCATTCTCGGAGGCCATAGTGGCTGTACTGCAGCAACTTTGAAGCCATCTTCGGCGAGAACGCCGATGGGTGACCCCTCTTCCGCAGGGCCGGCGCATCACGCCAACACCTCGTTGGGTTTTAGTACGAATAATTAACCCAAGCCACTCAGAAGCCGGTCTGTTGGAGCTCAGTTGGAGCCATCTTGGGCCCTGTTGGAGCCATCTTGGCCGTCTTGGATGCTATCTTGGGATCGTCTTTGGGGGAACAAGCCGCGACTTTTTTCCCGAGATCTCCGGGTGGCCGCCGGGATCGGCCAAGTGCCCATTTGAGGAGTGTTTGGAAAAGCGCCAGAACCACTCAGAAGTCTGGCAAGCCGTGCACCCCTGACAGTGGGCGGCGGATCGAAGACGACTACGGCGAACCACCGCCGCCCCCTGCCTTTCGGAAACGCCTATGTGGCAGAACGTGGCGGCCAGAGCTGGGCCAAGTTCTCGGACTGTGTGTTCTCCCAGCCGTCGTGGAAACGATTCAGGGAACACGTGGGGGAGAACGGAGAAGAGGAGGAGCAGAGGGAGCAGCAAGGAGGAGGAGGAGGAGGAGGAGGAGGAGGAGGAGGAGCAGTCTGGCACGCCGTGCACCCGCGTGGCGAGCCCACGGCGGGGGGGCGGCCTCCTGGATGCCCGTCGGCGATGCCTCTTTCCTCTGGCCGCGGTCGGCCTTTTTTTTTTTGCTTGACGCCGCCCCGCGTGAGGCGGCTGCCCTCGGCCCGGTCGTCGCCGTCGCCATCCTGTGCCTCCTCCTCCTTCTCCTCCTCCATCCCTCATCCCTCATCCCTCATCCCTCCTCTCCTCCCTCTCCTCCCTTATCCTCCTTCTCCTCCTCCTTGTTCTCCTCCTTATTCTCCTCCTTCTCCTCCTCTTCCTTCTCCTGCTGCTGGTGGCCATCGACGTTCAGCTGGCGGCGCGCAGGCGGGGCAAGGGCCCCGCGGAGGGGGGCGTCTATCGAGGGCGCCTGCGGCGAACCACCGCTGCCGCCCCCGTGCCTGCGCCACCAAAACGTCTGGCCGCCATCTCGCAAAGCTGTGGGGCCCGGTGCTTCCCAGCCGGTGCTGGAACACCTTGGGGGAATATTCGGGGGAGGGAGAGAGGGGAGGAGGAGGGGGAGGAGGAGGAGGAGGAGGAGGAGGAGGAGGAGGAGGAGCAGGAGCAGGAGCAGGAGCAGGAGGAGGAGGAGGAGGAGGAGCGGAGCAGGAGCAGGAGCAGGAGGAGGAGGAGGAGGAGGTGGAGGAGGAGGAGGAGGAGGAGGAGGAGGGGGAGGAAAACAGGAGGGGGAGAAAGAGAGAGGAGGAGGAGGAGGAGGAGGAGGAGGAGGAGGAGGAGGAGGAGGAGGAGGAGGAGGAGGAGGAGGAGGAGAGGAGGGTGGTGATGATGAGAAGACGGAGGAGGAACAGTGCAAGCCTAAGACGCATCAGCGATATTGCAAGGAATCCTCCCTCCAAGTCCCCTCTTCAGATGCCCCTACGAGAATTTATGCTCATTGCGGGGAGCTCAGGACAATTGCCTGGTGACTTCTGCGTCCTGACAGTCCTAAATCGTGCCAGAACGCAGTTTCTGGGACTGCAGACCCGCGAATGAAAGATAATGTTGCGTCTTGGTAGTTCAAAGCCAAGCCAGAACAATATTCTTTCTTTCGACCATACGGATATCTGATATTGGCGCAAACCTTTAAGTCGAAAGTGCGCGACCCTGAGGCGAGAGCCGCGTTTTGAAAAGAACCCACCCTGCATCCGTTGAACAATTGCAAACTGAGAAGACGGTGGTGCGCAGTGCTAAGGCGAGAGGCGAGAGCAACAGCATGACAATGTTTTCCTTGTTTCCCTTTGCAGCTGCTTCAAACTGCTGAGGCGGCTGCGCCCGGCGTTCGGGCGAGAGCCACATTTGAGAATGACCTGCGCTCCATCCTTGAAGCTGCTGCAAACGGTTAGGACGAATGTGCGCGGTGCGAAGACGAGATGCAGATTTTGAGCAGAGCCCGCGCGCGGCGCTGAGGCGAGAGCCACATTTTGAAGACGGCCCGCCCTGCACCCGTGAAGTTGCTGTGCAATTTTAAGCTTCAGGGCCGTACATGGTAAGGGGTACGGACGTCTCAGGTGAGACGGCGGGTGCGACAGGGAGGCGTTATCTATAAGGGGAATGGATTGAAGAAGAAGCAGAAGACGAAAAAGAAAAAAGAGGAGAGACAACGAGGAGGCCTTTCTGGAGCCTCTTGGGGCCTCGTGGGGGCTTACTGGGCACCTCTTGGGGGCTCTTGGGGTCTAGGTGAAACCTCTTTGCCTTCGGATGCTGCCTTGTTTGCCTCACTGGGCGGTCTTGGGGGATTCGTTGGACGCTTTCGAGTCATCTTGAAGGCTTCTGGGGCCGTCTTGGTGGGGCCGTCTTGGGCCCTCTTGGGCCGTCTGCGGCCCTCTTGGCGTGTCTTGGCGCTATTGGAGGCCTTTGGGGCCCCTTTGTGCAGTCGAAAGCTCGAGAGGGCGAACAGCATCAGTGATGTGTGACCCACTGGGAGCTTTCTGGAGGCCTCTTGGAGAAACTTGGAGCGTCTCGGGGGATTCTTGGGCCGTCCTGGATCCATCTGCGGCCGTCTTGGAGGCACCTTTGGGGCCATTTGGGGGACTTCTTGGGGCCACCTTGACGTGTAGGAGGAGGAGGAGGAGGAGCAAGAGGAGGAGGAGGAGGAGGAGGAGGAGGAGGAGGAGGAGCAGGAGGAGGAGGAGGAGGGGGAGGAGGAGGAGGAGGAGGAGGAGGAGGAGGAGGTGGAGGAGGAGGAGGAGGAGGACGAGGACGAGGAGGAGGAGGAGGAGGAGAGGAGGAGGAGGAGGAGGAGGAGGAGGAGGAGGAGCTGGGGGCCATTGTGGGCATCTGAGAGGCGGAGGGAAGCTTCTGACGTGCATTCGGGGTGGCCGGCGGGCGGAGGCGGAGGCCGCTCACAGCAAGCTTCGGAGGCAGCTCGCGGGAAGTCTGCGCTCCGAATGCCTTATTGTGGTGGCTTTCGGCCAGTGCCGCCGATCCGGGTCGCTTGGGGTGCCCCCCAGACTGGCCGGCGACACTTCGCCGACAGACACGCACGCACGCCCCCCCCCCCACCTCCCCTTACCCCGGCAGAGCCACCCCTGTCACCCCCTCCCCTTCAAACTCACACGCCAGATCGGCGGATTCCTCGTCGGTGAGCATCGGCTCGCGCCGATCGAGCGTCGGTTGAGCGTCGATGGGCGTCGACTGGCGTCTGCTCGCAAGAGCCGGCCATCTGGCACGGGTGGCCCCCGGGAGTTGCCACCGATAAACTCCCAGAGGAGCGAGGCCCAGACCCTTCGGGTCATGACAACATCACGGCGGGAGGTTTGTCGCTCTTTTCGGCCTCTTCGGGGCCCCTACTCCAAATCCCTTGTGAATCGTCTCCCGGGTCCGGTTTTTGAAGGCACCATCTTTGTATCTGTGGGGGGGGTCTGGTTTACGGCGCTCTCTGGGTTGGAGTTTAAGGGGGTCTGGTTGATTAAGGCGCCCCGTCGTTTTGTTTTTGTTTCGGGGGGGGTCGATTAATAAGGGATTTGGAATATGTCCTCGGAGTTTTGTTTTTAGGGTGCATTCGCGCTGGCGTCTGGTAGTCGTTGGGAAAGCGCCGATGAGCGTCGACTCGCGTCGACTAACGTCGACTGGCTTCCAACCGCAAGAACCAGTAATATTACATGGAAGACTCCCGCGGTTTGCTGAAGGACAGAACAGTCCAACATCTGCTACGCAGGCAACCCCTCCTGTAAGCAACACGGGGCGGCAGTTCGAAGTCGCGTAATTTGGGCGAACTGCTGCCATGTGTTCCCCCAGCCGTTGTGGAAACCCTGTCGGGGAACACGCAGTGGACAAATAAGAAGAGGGGGAGGGGGGAACAAGGGGGAGGATAAGTAGGACGCCTCTTGGGGCGCTCTTTGTGGCCTCCCTGGAGCTTCTCGGTGGCCGCCTGGAGGCCTCTTGGGAGTTTCCTTCGGCCTCTTGGGGGGGCCTTTGGGAGCCCCCTGGGAGGCCCTTTCGCTGCCTAGGGGCGTTCCTGGCCCGCCCGATGCCGTCGTAATCCGTCTTGGGGGGCCTGTCTGGGCCGTCTGAGGGCCTCGTTGGGGCGCTGCTGGGCCGTGCCGTCTTGGGGGGCCCTTTGGCCGCCAGGGGGCCATCCCGGAAGCCTCTTGGGTGCTCTTGGGGCCATCTTGGGGGCTGCTCGGGCGGCTTTTGGCCGTCGGAAGGCAGACAAAGAGTAAAGGCCCAAATTCGTCAAAGATAGTTTGGCCTCTTCGAGCCTTCTTGGAGGGCCGTCTAGGAGGCTTCTTGGGAGCCTCTGGGTCCGTCTCGGGCCGTATGGAGGCCATCTTGGGCTGTCTTTGGGGGCGCCTCGGGCCGTACTGGAGGCATCCTGCGGCCATCTCGGGCCCTCTTGGGGCCATCTTGGCCGTCTCGGAGGCCATCCCTGCGGTTTTGGAGGCCATCTTGGGGCCACATTGGCGGGGGAGACCGAATGGAGAACGAGTTTTCCAGGTGGCCGGCTGGATCGGCGGAGGCCCCGCTGAGGAACCTCTACAGACGACCAAGACAATCTAACGTTCGACGCGCCGAGACAACACGTACAACAAAACAAGTTGGGAATTTTCAGCAACAGTAACGCGATACGATTACCAAACCAACCGCAGATCTTGTGGCCTTCGGCGCTTCCCGCCACCGCGCCTGGGTCGTAGGCAAGGTGCCTCTCGATGACCCGTGCGCGACCCTAGTCAGGGGAGCGCTTGCTACCGGCATTGCGTGGCATTGCTTGGCACAGCACTGCCTTTCGTTGGCATTCCATTGCCTTGCGTTGCTTGGTGCTTTTCGGCAGCAATAAGGCAAAGGAGCTGGGGGAATCCGAGGACGGCACTTCAAACACAGGAAACAATACAAAGAAACCTGGGGGACTGGAGGAATGCCTGTTCTGAAACAGTACGGAAAAAAAGACACATGAACCCGTGGAACCCGAGGAAGGCCTTTTTGAAATGCGCATTACGGAAAGAAGACCGAGGAATCCGCGGAACCAGAGGGAGTTGCTTGTTTTTCCCAACCATCCTGAGTGGGGTTCTTGTTTTCCCAGAACACCCTCTCCTTCCCACCCACCTCCCGCTCCATCTTCCATACAGCACAATATTATTCCTACCACACACACCATACCATACCATAGTTCCTACCACACATACCATACCATACCATACCAGGGAGGCCCCGCCTGAGCGAGGAGGACATCCGCAAACCATACTATTTACATGATTTCGTGCCCCTCCCACACCTCCAGGGAGGCCCCGCCTGAGCGAGGAGGGTATCCGCAAACCATACTATTTACATGGTTTCGTGCCCCTCCCACCTCTCCAGGGAGAACCCCGCCTGAGCGAGGAGGGTATCCGCAAACCATACTATTTACATGGTTTCGTGCCCCTCCCACCTCTCCAGGGAGGCCCCGCCTGAGCGAGGAGGGTATCCGCAAACCATACTATTTACATGGTTTCGTGCCCCTCCCACCCCTCCAGGGAGGCCCCGCCTGAGCGAGGAGGGTATCCGCAAACCATACTATTTACATGGTTTCGTGCCCCTCCCACCCCTCCAGGGAGGCCCCGCCTGAGCGAGGAGGGTATCCGGAAACCATACTATTTACATGGTTTCGTGCCCCTCCCACCCCTCCAGGGAGGCCCCGCCTGAGCGAGGAGGGTATCGGAATACCATACTATTTACATGGTTTCGTGCCCCTCCCACCCCTCCAGGGAGGCCCCGCCTGAGCGAGGAGGGTATCCGAAAACCATACTATTTACATGGTTTCGTGCCCCTCCCACCCTCCAGGGAGGCCCCGCCTGAGCGAGGAGGGTATCCGAAAACCATACTATTTACATGGTTTCGTGCCCCTCCCACCCCTCCAGGGAGGCCCCGCCTGAGCGAGGAGGGTATCCGAAAACC